CGACAAGTGACATTTGAGACATCTGTAAGTCGTTACGATAGTACATGATAGCACCACCTCTCAGGCTGGGACGATAGTTTCGGAAAAATTACTTTCCCTGAATTGCGATCTCGGCATCCGTAACCTCTGTGTGCAGCTAAGTTTTGGTTCTGGAGATGAGATTGCAATTGTTTGTTACCTGGCGCAAACAAAACTCGGCGACTTTGCTGAGGAGGCCCTGGACATTCGTGTAAATGTTGCAAAGTGTTTCGGTTCTCAGAAGCGATCCGGAACAATTTGTCTAGCAAGTGGGTTTGTGTCGACCACCTATAGCCAAACGTTAGCCGCTTTTTGTGCTTTTATCGGCAAGTTGCTTGGAGTGGGTTTCAATGGCATTGTGATTGTCCCTTCATGTAACTCAGTTTACGCAATGCATAGGAAGTGGCTACAGGATTGCACAGGACGATGCTCACCTCATTCTGACCTGCTTCCTGTGGTAATTTCGGATAAGTGCACTAGAGCGTTTGCTTGCTGTGGTAGTGCTTTAAGTCCGGCGACAGTTTCGCTCGCCGCTTTAGACCGGAGCTCGGTTAGCAGTGTGTTCCGAGGGGAATGCTAGCTTTACAACAGCGTAAGTTGCATCTACCAGGTTTGTAGCACAACCATAACCATCCTTTGGCCTCATGCGTTGTAGCTTTCTGAAATTGACAGCCTCGATATCCAAGTAGCAACAACGTCATTTCAGAGCAGGTTTTCATGAAAGGAGCGCCACTGCTTCTGATGGTAAGACCATTGATTCACATTTATCGTTCTCACGAGACTGGGGGACGCCGTGAAAAATACGGTTCTGGATGGGGTGTTTAGCCGGAACACTGCTGCGCTGTGCCTAGCTTGCTTGCGCTCTCCTTAAAGAACGACTGGAAAGGCGCTGATCAAACCGAATTCGTTTTGGAGGCGAGAGGTGAAAAGCAGCGTTTTTTTACCTCAAAAACAGAGTTTAGCGCAATCCGAAAATTCCTGACTTCGCCGAAATGTCTGGAATTCTGGTGTCTTGTGCTCCTCTTCAATTTGAAGCATTAAGACAAAATATCGATGAGGTTACTTATAGTATACCGTTGGTTTAGGTCACCTGCCTGCTTTCCCTTTTAAACAAATATTTCTGAGTGTCATTTCTGAGAGTGTAGACCGTTGTTAGTAGGCGGATTTCTTTGCCGTTCCTCCATGCAGCGTGACCTTTCACATTAGTTATGGATGTGGTAATAGCATCAGTGGGGACTGATTTTATGGTTCACCTTGAAGAAACTACGACCCAGCGACCTCTGATATTTGCATACTTTCTGGGTTTCAGGAATGTCTGAAAAAAGCAAGTCGGTTTGAAGAGAATTGTTGCAAAGTTGCTGGGGTTTAAGTGTTCGGGAACGCTTGGCGATTTGGATTATTGGCACTGTTTGCAGACGCGACTTTATTAGTATAACATTTGGCATTGTGGCCTGGGCTTGTGCCGGAGTTCGGTGGATGGGGCTGTGTCAGACATTTTGTTATGATTGTTCTAATGGAGGATATTTTGAGGTCTAATTCCATCAACTACGTCTGCAAGCATATCATATTCCTGTAACCGCGCACCTACGGTTTCAACTAGTGAAACAGTGTCACACATCGCACAGTACAAAAATGAGTCGGGCCTGTCGCTAATCAACCTGTACTCGCTAAGTTTGATTTTCCGGCCATTCTCACGAAAACAGGTTTGGCATTTTCCACAATAAACCGTTATTTTGAGCTTCTTATCGTACATTCTTCAGGCGCAGCTTGGCACCGCGGATTGGTTAGTAACGATCATCATGGCACGTGAACATGCATAAGCTTTTGTTACTATGCTTTCTATTCTTTAATTAGCATAGTCTCCCAACACCACTTATTTGTAGGAAGCGATGGGGGGATAAATTGGTTCCCATAAAATACTCAATCAACGGTCAAATTGCGCACCTGTATGCCGTTATTTGTAGTGTGATTCGTATTCAATTGTATTCCCCTGTTTGAAGTAACTGATGCTAGTTATTTTAAAAGTGGCGCACTATTCAGTGGACACATTGTGCGTAGATTTCACGGTGGATTATGGCATATGCATTGGTAGCGCCTCATGGGGCTAACAACATATCAACTTGCATATTGCTTTTTGTTTTAACACAACATCAAAAATCCCCACCACATTAAATGATACGCCTCACTACCTGCATTACATTAGAGTTTACTGTAACCTTAATCTAAAGCCGCTTACCATTACCTGTGTATCTATCAAGCGGTTGCTTTCAATCTGCTCCTTTAATTGCGTTGGATTTACTCCCGTAATTCTCATTTCAAAAACATATGCAAACATGCATTCAAGTCAGCTAAAGTAGCGCAATTTAGTGCATACGATTAATTGGATCTAACCTGTGCGGATCCTCTTTTACCTCCGTATCGCAATCTTTGCTACCTTCATTTGAGACACACTTGCAAGCGTTTCCAAACTTTGAGTCAGGCGGCAAAGTTTATGGTCTCAAGCGGAAGCCAAATATGTGATCTCTGCGAAATCCAATCCGCCACGACTGTCGATCTCCAAGTAGTAATTCTGTCAAGCGAATTGCGCCTTCATTTTCGGTCACTTTTTTGCACCTCAGATCAGTTCCAACCGAATGGTACACTAGCTGATGCGACCCCGCAACGCTTTCTAACGCACCTGGTCGTACTATGAACACGCCGACTTCAAATATGGCCGATAGAGCGTGCAAAGAGCCAACCAAATAGCCACGCGCACTGGGATTGAGCTATTCTTAGGCAGCGGCGTTGAACCGAGAGGCATCCAAGCACATAAACACGTTAACGGAATGGTTTGCATCAACCGATCAGAAGATGCTGCGTCGAATGCTGCCAGAAAGATAAGAGTATGTATGTTAATTTCTTGCCAGTAAAATACCAGAACAGGGATCTAATTTGCTAACAGCCTTAATGTTGTTTATCCTAAGGGAGCCTAGCTCCTATCAAGCGTAGTGCGGATGCACCAGGGCGGAACCATATCTCTATACATTTACCCAGTATGTGTGGCTATTATGCTAACCAAGGTTGTACTTTAAGAGACACAGAACTACTATAGACTAATGGCGACGGTTGGAGCAAATGGCGTACGTCAAAATGCACTGGTAGATGATCAACATGCTTTTGACCTCCAAGGCTGGACAGTCTGTTAAGATATCGCCACCTCTAGTTTTGTATGTCAATAAATATGTCAATACCATCAGTGACCCAGGTGCACATGAACCAACCCCATAGTCTACTCTAGAGATGGACTCCCACCTGTCATTCGCCATGCGACCATGATGCAACCATATTTCATCTTAGCTGACCTCCAGCATCCCTCAGTGAGAACTACAAGATTGAATTGCGGGAGTTTTTGCACAAGCATTCCGCACTTTAGACATGTTTGCTTATCCACCAGATTCCGAGCGGTAGTACCCGAATTCACAAGTTGAATTATTTCGTATCATCATACATTAAAGTACACTAACAGAATTCGTTAAAGTTTCCAGTTAGTATTTGTTGGTTATACCATTAAGAATATTTCTGTGGATTTTGCTGACAGGTTAACAGACCTGATCACCCCTTGCTACGGAAGCAGTCCTCTTTGTTCTGTAACAGCTTCGCTACGGTTTCGGGGCAGCGCTGCAAGTGGAAGTTGGAGGGTCGGGTTCGGGGCTTATTAGCCAATGCACTTGAGGTGGACCGCGGTATTTCACAAGTATCAGTACCGGGGAGACGTTTCTTTTTGATCTTCGCCTCTCACTTGTCATCGATCTAACATTTTACCTTTCTCCTAATGGCATCAATAGATGGCGGATGATCGGTCATCGAGAACAACACAGTCCACTACAACGAGACCTGGACTGTGCACGTGAATGATCAAAGTCAATTGTGTCACCGTCTAAAACGGAATAGTGCAAGCGTGATTATCAATTGACTCATACAGGCTGGGAGAACACATCTTGAACACCGTCTCACAGAAGTGAAACCACTGTGTACTAATTCAAAATGACCTCATCTGTTCGAATGAATACGCTAAGGTGTCAAAACCATGAGCCAGCATGTTTGGTCTGTTACGGATGTCATTCATACAATCCACCCTCTCACATCTGCTTACAATGCTCAGTGTGTGCATGAGTCCGCAAGTTCAGTGAAGAAATTCAGGTCAGGCAACCTTAGCTAAAACTCCATATGGTTGCACTGAAGACCTCGCAACGAAGAGCAACTAAAACAGAAACCACAATTTCCACTTTCCATAGCAAATGTGACTGAAAGCAATATGAGTGTACAGCGGGTTATCGCCACCTAAGAATACCCTCATCTTGCCCTATCAGCTTTTGAAAACCGCAGTCATGTTTTCCTTCACCACGGGACCCTTGATCATAAAATACCAGAGGGTCTACAGCTGACGCTGGCCGAAAAAGCAATCAGTTGGAATGTTGTAAAAACTTCCTCTAAATCGATTTTCTCAGTTGTGTGACGAAAATCCGACTTGTGTTAATTTCGTGTTCATGTTAAAGATTGCTAATAAACAATCTGAATACGCCCTGTCCCATATGCACCACGTGACATAACTCGTTCTTTCGTTACCGAAAAAACGCAAATCAACTGTGTGCTCACCAGCACGCCTCCACGAAATTCATGTAGGCGGTTAGTCTATGTGCTAATGTTAATAACACGCCGAGCACACAGATGCACAGTTTAGTAAATTGGCAATTCTTAATTTTACTGGCCAAGTTCACATAAACGGTCCTATCGTCTTGTCGATATTTGACTTGTTCCACTGATATGCTATGTCTTTATAGTTCCTATACGATAAAGGCCCACGATTGTCCAGACATGCCGTTACTTAGCTAGACATACGAGCTCTCCATTGACATTGGCTGTTTAGTGAGCAACCTATAGCGTTGGAAGGGAGATGTCGCTGTGTTACAATCCATACATATCACTAAGGTCGTAGGTGTAGCCAGCCGGTGTCAAGGTCGAGTTGTGAAAGAAATAAAACAAGCGACTGCTTTCCTTCCTTCTCATGGTGAAGAAATATGAACATGGTACACTTACCGGCAAGACTTGCAGTATTTATGATGGCCAACCTAATGCTCTGTGAGTCGGAGGAACATACAGGTGAGTCACCCAGGCTGTGTTTATCCATCTCTAGGTGTTTATCTCGATGTGTTTAACTTGGAGAAATTGAAAGGCGGGAAATTTTACTTTTAATCAGTATGCACATCTGGTTACGGCTACCAACAATGGTATTTAACCGGGCAGTAACATCTCTAACGATCTGGATAAGACTTGTTTGTCTGCAAGGTTGACAGCCTCGCACTTTTATCGTAGAACTGGTCAAACCAGTTGGGGAATGTGAGACAAGCAATAAGTAATAGGGAACTAGCGTTTTCCGCTACTACACAAGTCAAGGTTGCTTACCTGAAATATCGCGTAACCCTGTCACAGATATTCCTGAGATAAACTTAGATGGGTTAGGGGGAAGTGATAACTATAAACACGGATACATGCGTTGCACAGTTGGCTACATTTGACCAAATTGTGTTCATTTACTTTTTTCATACACGGCGTCCTTCAAATTCGGTCACAGCTTGTCACACGAATTAGCCGTTTGCGCATTTCAATCCATGTGACCAGAAATCTTCTCGGCGTTTTGATAGTCGAAACTTTGATTGGTACTATCAAACACTTAACAGCAAACCGTGCGGTTCCGAAGCTAAGCTTACCTTTAGTGGGCTGCAACAGTTTCGCTTTCCCATGTGGTTAAATTAGGACATACAACAGAACACATATTTTCGTAATCCTCACAAGTGTCTAGCACATCCATAAGTTAAATTAACCAGCTCACGCTGTCTGCGTAGTATCAGCCTGTTTGGCTTTGTGCGCATAATGTACACTGGTGTATTCAATGCACTACATAACACGCAGTTTTACATTGCACAGGCTGACCATAAGACTCCAAGAGACAAAAGCAAACGGGGAACTGTGAACTGCCCATATCGAACAAGTTTGTGTCTGTGCACTCTGAAGAATATTCTGCAAACTTTTCTCCACCTAGGTTGTTGTTATTTACACCACAACCGTCAATATTATATTCCTGGCTTGCGTACGTGTTACCGCAATCATCTGCTGATTCATGTGGCCTTAAGAAGATTTGTGTTACAAGGCTAACATTTGCTTACCGACTATAACGACAGGTTGGTAAGTAAAGCTTGCGAACCCGGGAACACTGCACGCTAAGATCGGATTTGAACTTATTTGCCATCAACGGGTAGAGACAGCATGGTCTAGAGCCAAGTACGATTGGCATGTCCTCCGGAGCTTCTTCGTAGTACAGCGAAACGCGGCGCGAACGCTTCCATCCTCAAGAAGTTATGCTATCCTCACTCCTCCATCGGTTCTTAGCTTTTGACATGATGTTAACATGAGCGGTGGTTAGTAGGCCATTACACCTCCAAATCGACGCTTGAACAGCCATTGGAACTTCCTCGTTGGACTTTGCAGTCACCAACGTGTACTTCGATTGAAGCATGCAATTAGTATTAGACCAACGGTTCACAGTAAAGAAATACTCGGCCAATGCTATTGCTGGGATTGCATGTCACTAACTATTCACAAGATAGCTACCTAGAAACCAAACAATAAGCCGGTGGCCGGTAGCCGGTGGCCGGTAGCCGATGGTTGGTGGCCGAATAACCTGCGCACCAGGTTTGCAACCATAATTTCCCCAAGTCGAATGCTTATAGTTGTGGGAGTCCTCACAGTATACTCAGCCCGCGTTCGACTGGTCGTGGTCGGGTCGGAGCAAAGACTAATTACGGCGTACAGCTGCTACGCTATTACTAGTGGTAACAATAATATTATCATTAAGTAAAGTGGTTTAAATTCTTACGAAAGAAGGGGGCAAAATGTTCCTTAGAAACCAACCCGTGAACTCAGCAGGTGATTATTGATTTTATGTTATAGATAGGAGATTAGATCCAACCTGCAGCGAAATCCACAACGGCACAAACGAGGGAACAATTCAAAACCCAATGTACCCGGACAATGATCATGGTTCCAAATTCTGCAATTATCAAATTACGGTTCCTTCCAACAATCAAGTTGCTCTGAGCTTCCCTGAGCTTGAAGTAAGTTTATTTGGCTGGTTAGTCCAAGACGAAAATGTATGACACTCCAACCATAATACCCAGAGTAAGCTTCCTAAAATTTGTTCAGCGTAGATGGAGAGATGGTTTATTTTGTGGCGGTCGGTGGTGAAGTGTGCGACTGCTTACTTCTTAACAAGACAACAAGTGATGTGATTCTTAAGCAACTTGAAGCTGTCATTCGTTGGTTTCTTTTTCAGTCTCAGCAAAGGTACATGGGATTAGTTGTGTTCGACGGCCCAGATTGTATGTCAAGATGGATCGGATACCTAAATTACCCAAATAATAAGCCATTCATTTCGTCTGGAAACAGTATCACAGCAGTGCTGACTGTTCCACTTAAATTTGAGGTTTGGCGATTCAAAGGAAATTATGCTACAGGTAAGTTGTACCTAATACACATTGTATATTCTGGGAACAGACAGCAAACATCGTTATAATGGTTTATGGACTGTATATATCATTGATGATACTATCCATTCAAATCCTATACGCTTCACAGCATTGCTAGCAAGTTTATTCGCTGTAATTGACAACATTCCGGCTGACTTAAAATCCGTTTGTGCATATGAATTCCTCAAAGTGGCGTGAATGCCAAGCACCTTTGCATTACCAGGGTATTTGAACAATGAATAGTGAACTTTAGTTTAAAAAAGCAGTTGCTTGACTAGTGTCGCAGGTTGGTGTTAGTACAATTACAATATAAAATTATTTGTGCTTGGTGTGTTTGAACGTTTAGTTAGCATATACGCTGCTGGATAATAGCAGGGTACCTGGAGATTGAATGCGAACAACGAGGCAACGTGGGGACAGTAGATTTTAACTATTCCGTGAGGAAAACCAAACTGAGAATACCTACATCTGTACAGCCACCACAGACTAATATGATACCTTAATCCGGCATGAAGGGATAATTATTATGTCCTAAATTAGCGCATTATAGGGAAAGAAGTGATTGGGGCCAGGGGCAAGTCCCAAAGGTTTTTGCTATGACCCAAGGTGTGGGAGGAGACAATAAAGTTTGGGAGAAAGTTCCAGGGTTTGCAAAACGAAGAGGAAAATAGTTCCCCTGGCATTCCAGACGGCTATACTGTGTACATAATTTCAGACGGTTACTTTTGCGATTGGTGTTATGGCTGTTTTAGCAAGTGACGGCATATGTGATTAGTGTGACCCAAGATTTGGCAGGCTAATAGGAGTTCGCCGCGCAGCCTCCTGTAGCGGCCACTGAAAAATATTAGGGAATTCAACCTTTGCCGGTAGAAAAGGTTTCGTAGGCATTCGAAGTTCTTTGTGGCCTGTGTAATGGTTTCTCAGGCACTTCTAAATCGCGCTTTAAGCAATTTGCTTAACTTGCGTGACGTAATAAACGTGAAGGCGCACATGGGCATTATGCATCAAGAGTAACGTGGATGGGTCTCATCTTGCGAATGCTCTTCGTAACAAGCCGACGTGCTGTTTGGTTCTTTTAGCAGCTGTCTCTAGCAGCCTTAAACAGTTAAAGTCAATCTGAATGAGCACACGAAGGTTGCGTTCTTGGGAAGTTGTTTGTAATACATGTGACCCAAGTCTATATACCTAGTCACACCTATAGTGAAATGGAACAGGGTGATATTTTTTCATGTTTAGCACCATTGTATTCAGAACTGACCAGTTTAAAGTCGTAGTGAGGCCACGCTGGAGCTTCTCGTGGTCGTTCAATTCTCTGCTCGCTAGCCTTAACTCGATAGCATCCGCGAAGAACAGGAAACCGGAAGTAATTTTCCTTGTCAGATCGCATATGAAGCTCAAAATAGCTGGGACATGAGCACCAAGCCTAGTGGTACGCCGCACTATAAATTGCGTCGGACGTTGATTAGCTTACTCTCAAATCCAACCGATTTTCTTGCAGGAAATTTTGTGTCTAACGCAGCAGTGGGCCACAAGTGCCTTATATTTCTAGTTTATGGAGGAGAATTTGCTTGTCTAAGTGATAGAACGCATTTGGGAAGTGTAAGTAAAGGCACTGTCTCCTGCCGCTTCCGTCCAGCTACTGCGTGCAATTAGCAGATTTGTAGTGCTTGAGCATTATTTTTGAAAACCATGTTGCTCTGGTGCTCTCATGTTGTGGTTTTCTAGGTATGCATAAGTGCATCAGGGATGATAGTTTCCACAACCTTGGAAAGTACATGGAGTAGCGTTATCGAGTGGCAATTGATTGTGTCAGTTCCACTACCTACCATATGTAAAAGAAGGGGTAAAACCTCTCTTCCATACTGCTGGTATATGGTTCTTCTCCATACAGTGCTGATAAAATATAAGCAAAGGTTTTACCTTATCTTCAGCTGCTGCCTGTACAGTCGTCGTTCGAATGTTATCGACAACATAAGAGCTATGGATATTCAAAGACAACAGTCACTTTGGCAGCTTTTCTACGGTAAATATCATGTTGGATAAAGCTGATGGTGAGGTACTAGAAACAGGGCAAACTGTTGGACCCGATACTCTTTGAAACGTTGGTGGCTTGTGGAACAGTAAGAGGTCGTTTACTTCCGTTGCCGATCGCGTGCACGCTCCATTCTTGACCGGTGCTGGAATTCCACGTTGCACCTTAGGAAGGCTATTAACATGCCTTTATAAGAGTTTGCGGTTCATGCAGTATCTCTTCATTAACTCCTACTGATGCGTCACCATTTTCTCGCGGAGCAAACTCATACAGAATTTACACTGTGCCACATAGGCAGTCCAGGTTTTGGCATTCCGGAAGTCCTTGTAAGCACTCGATGATAAATTCCTCAAACCCGTGCATTTGCGTATCCAGCTCCACAAATATGTTGCATCTTCTTTGACGATGGAAGGATGTCTGCTTAGACATGTGCGTTACCAGGGTAGTGAATGTCCTTTGTGCCAGATCTGCACTCAGGAATGCACTGCGGTTCTGTTTAGTAAACGTCGGTTTGAGTGTTTTGGCTAGGAACTTGGATTGCTTAGCTGGCACTAAAGAATGTTGCGAACACCGTTTTGCATTGCTCGTGGTTGGTCAAAAAGACGTACGGCAGTCTCTTTGGTTATTTTTATCGAGAAGACCGATGCGTAGTTTACTCGACACTGACTGTCAGTTTGGTGACAAACTATTGAGATAAGGTCAGATTTTGCCAGATTTGGCTTCCTAAGTACATAGTAATTATTGGTGTAGGTGGCACAGATGTCGTTGGGCCGTTTCAAGACTGTAGTGTTTGACTTAGGAACAAAGCTCTGCGGAGCTTTTAGTAGAACAAGATGGGTATGGTTAGATTCTAATTGTAAAGCCCTTTAGCCAGACATCTGCTGGGCTGTTTCAGGCGGAATTTTAAAAGTTGCAAGTGCGATATTACACAAACAACTATTTGGATTTCTCTGTAATTTTGGCCAAAAGTAGGACGCAGTACGCAGGTAGATTTATTTCACACATTTAGCTGACTTAAGCCACACAGTGGGGGTAAAACAGAAGGCCGCAAAATAAACAAATATTGTCTATTTTGACTACTCGTACACAACGCTGCTTACTACATTTGAGGTTATCCGGAATCAATTCAGTTTAGAACCATTGTTGCAAACTAACGCTGTTTTGTCTGCTCATGTAACGAAGAGGGCAAGTGACACTTGCATGCCTTCTTCCAGTCGCAGGCCAAGCATCGTTTACCTAGATAATTGTGTCACGACGAGGACACGGGTACACGGAGTGTATCTAGCTTATTTATCTTCACTGCTTCCTGTAAGACAACGCCGTTGGAATTGACTTATTTCGGGTGGATAATAGCCATACTCGCCAGCGTTGGTCGAATGTACTTGAAACGACAGACTGAGTCGTTGCCTCGATAGGACTGATCTCATAGACGTAATTCTAGGATCACCAGATAGCGCGGAGTATCATTGATCGATCTCAGTGCCACAGCAATAAAAACTATTAAAATAACAGGGTGACGCGTGCAGATAGAAGCACGAAACCTGCTAAAGCCGCTTGGGTAGCACAAATCGCTCAGTAGGAAATTATTTTGTAGACAAATGTCCAATAAATACGGGGAGTTGTTCCAATGAAAATGAATTGAGGATGACTGTGCTAGGTGAAGTGAAATACGTAAAACTCTGTGACAGGCTGAAGGTCGTTTACCATGCGACTGGTCACAAACACTTTGTGAAGTGATTACACGAAAGTTTGCTGCTTTTTAATTTTAAGCAATTTTGAGCGCTAAGGCATATCCTGTCGTAGCGCTGTGTTAAATAGAAAGCTTGAAAGTATAAATTATCTGCTATCCATTGTGTTGCGTGAATAATACTTCCGTCAGTGTCCACCAACTGAATGCTTTACTAATAGCTAGGCTAACACTAGAAACGACAATGCTTGTAACGCTGATTGTGACAACTGCGATGAATTTACTTGGGATATCTGGGCTATGCACCAATGATAGTTTGCCTTATGTGGCACAAGGCGAAGAACAAATAAATGCTTTGCAGCACCTTCTGTTCATTTACTTTATCAGACAACAGTTTTTAAGGTAATGTCCGTACAACTTTGCAATCGAATGCTGCTAAATCCATGAATTTGCCATAAAATCTTCCATTACTATCTTGCCTCACGGACAATATCCATTGCTTTGATGATCAAAATATATCCCTTTTTATCTCCTACAGTTTTGCCGGATAATATTTGCCGTAACTTTTCAGACAGCTGCAAATAGCAGGTTCGGTTTCAGTCCACATTGTACAAACCGTACAAATATTTTGCCAAACTAGATTCTAAATGAGACGTGTGCAAAACATCGGGAATTATTTTTGCCACTGTGATAATCCCATTCCCTGGTGTAGACCCTTCCAATTTCGTGTGTAGCGGCCGGTCATTGAGAATCCACAAAAGCGCAGGTGGTGTTTGTTCCTGTATATTCAGACAGACCCTTACTGTAGTGATGATTTTTGCGAATCGAAGCTAACAGCTTCATCGATGGCCTGCTCATTGCGTACGTTCATGTGGGCAAAGTGCCATAGCATTTGTTAATGTAGACACGATAATCGTCGATAAAAATTCAGTCATTTGTGTGTATGTGAAGCAACAATAAGCCTATTAAAACCAACGGAAGTCCACAGCTATATTACGGAATGTAGGGCTTTGGCACTGTGGTTCTTCCACGACGGATTTCACCAAAAGCACCAGGAATGCGTAAGTTGCACAAACTGTAGCTGCACCGGAAATGAACACCATATAGTATGGGCAAATCGGCTGCATACTAGGCACTAGCAAGCGGTATGGAATGCGACTGTCCTATAAACTGAAAGTCAATAACTACTATAACGTATCTACTTTTGCAACCAAAGAAGTAGTAATTGGAAAAAATGCGGTTAATAACTGACTTCATGAATTCTTAAAACTAGCAAATTTCATATTTGTAATAGAGGATTTATGGCCTAAAAATGTTTATTATTTTCGTATGCAAATGCGCCGTGCCATGTTATCACGGATGATTTCAATTTTTTCCTTTTTGTAAGAAGTATTAGACACACTTTATAAGAAATAGTTGCCAATGTAGAAAAGCAAGTAAGACTGGTTTACAACTTGCTTAGGACTAAGGTATTTTATATTTACGAAGGTTTTCTATAAATTCGCTACAAGCAAAATCGCTGACAATATGATATTCCAAGCTCTTGTTGCTGAATTATTGACTTGCATCTACAATGCTTTTAGTCGTAACGATTAATAGGGAATGGAAGTTAAATCCTTAGTTTAAGAAATGCTTGCACCGCCTAAGTGTTTAAGGACAAGGTTTCCACAATATGCCAAACTTTTAAGTAGTTAGACAACTGGCTACTTCACATTGAAAATGGTGCATCGGCAACGGAGCTACCTTGTGGCTTTCATTAACCATTCTCATACACAAATTGGTATCACATCAACTTTAGACACCTTATCTGACTAGGAAGTCCTGATTAAAAATTCAGTGTGTTACCTGGACTCCAGCCTGAGATGTTGGCTAGACAAAGTGTTAAAATTTTTAACTACATTGCTACTGAATTCCTGCTTGACTATTTTGCTGTTTTATTGCCGGTGGAATAAAATAGTGTCTTTCAACGCAGGCTATGGGTGAAAGTAAACTTAATATGCCAAGGTAAACATATATGATCTAGTCTTATTTGCAGATCAAAAGCAATAACTTTTTCAACAAAGCCGGAAAATATAGTGTGCTTTTTAAAATTGAAGCACTCTGGTACACCCGAGAAACAATTTGCACCACGCTTAATAATTGCCATAACCAGTCATCACGTCAACAAAATGCTATAATATATATTGTTGTAGTTAATAAGTATTGTTTTTTCGGGTTGTTACTTAGTTGAATAAATACTGTCAAGCTACCTATGTAGGAAAACCGGATGCTAACGACATCCAACAAGCGCAGATGCAAGGCAGTCTCCATACGACACCAAATTTTCTACTACTTGGCAGCACTCTTCCGTTGAACGCGATTTGGGTGTACTGGCTTACTATGACCCGAATTGATCAAGCAGTCTGAAAAGAGCTCGCAAGCGGGAAATCGACGCCTTTAATTGTTAGAAAAGGCCCTCGTGCAATTAGACATCTTAATGTATCTTCAGGTGTTCCGTGTTCATCGTCTCCTTCTTTATGAGTACGTATTTCTAGCCGAGCAGTATAAATAAAGAACAATATCACTGCTCTGAAGCGGTCATGATGCCGGGCATTTTGAGCAGGTTACATAACTTGTAATCTCACATACAAAATTCTCGGAGTATTCAGACGTTGCTATTGTCGAACACGGAGCGACATAACAATGACCCACCAGAAACTGCACAGTCCAACTCGTGTGCAAAGCTCTTTCCAGAACTTTAGCAGATAATCCAAACAGTTAACACTCTGAACTGATAAAAAGGCATATACATTTTCAATAGCGCGGAATAGCTTTCCCGTTTGTGTGCGCTTTCACGTTGAACGAACTTCCCTAGACGGTTCGTTCCGAACCAAAATTAAAGGCAGTTAAATACCGCTTGGACACCGCGCTATGTTGCTTACATTTCGCGGCTTAGCATTATTGTTACGTTTAATACAAGGAACCTGAATTTTGACTATACTAGCCACCAGCTATTTTTACTGTAGGAGCAAAGCGGATAGCTCGATTACGGTATCATAAAACCTAAGCAAAAATTTTAAAAAGGTTTATAATTGTAACCCTTATAGGACTTCCCACGGGTGTAGTCAACGAGGGTTGTAGTGCATATGTGTTGTTACCAGCCTAAGGTGATTGTTATTTCGTCATTAAAGTCTACAGAGAATCAAGTTCGGTTGTGAATTCAACCAGATTGTACGTAACCGTCTAGGAATATTTTCGTAATTTACACCACTATTAAGAATGCAGAAATTTAAGAACTCAGCGGATAGAACAAATAAACTGTTTAATACAAAATGTATAACCTTATCACTCAAACAAATATTTGCACACCCTGTCTAAACTACCAATTGAGTCAAAGAGCAGTGAGACAGGAACGGCAGGGCGGAAGTTTGGTGAGAAGCATTCTGAGATTACGACTCTCAGTGTAGAGCGCTTGGAAGAAACACATTGCGCCTTCAACAGAGAAACAAATAGTACGTGCAAATGGTCGTGTAGAAATTTGAAGGGAAAATAAGCACAAGCGTTGACGTGCTTTTTGCCAATAACTTCATAAATGGCCGTACTCCACAATCCGCTGCATTTGACAATAAGTTATAACGACCGTAAAAATCATGTGCAGAGCTTTATGAATAATGCTGGCTGAATTACTGGGCTACGATAAAGTCAGCGAGGCTAAAAGTTAGCTGCTGCAAATTGAAAATTAAATCGCGAGGAACCGTAAGTATGTTAATTTTGTAGGCATAAAGCCATATTCATCTAATCTTGCGAAATGGGACGGAAACATGAGTAGAACAAATTAGGTTTCAGGTTACAATGACTCCGGTTATTTGACAGTTGCTCTTTCACTGCCAGAAAAGCGTTAGCATTGAAGACAGTTGTGGCTTAGCAGATTGAAGAAAGTTAATGTTTTATAGCAGAACGTATCCATGTTCCGAGTGAGAGATGGGGATGACGACCACAACGCAAACTCACCCAGATCTTTCTGAAGAGTAGATTTCTCAATTTTGGGAGCCATGCATCGCATAACGACATCATCAACATGCCTGTATTAAATATAGTTGGCATTTATGGGAATTTTTTAATGTGTAATAAATAATGCAAGAGAGAGTAGCACTCTACGTAGAAGGACACGGTCGGAGCACAGTGTAGTGTACAGCATTCAATTAGGCTGAGTGAATCGGCTACGGTTTGTCAAATTGTCAGTAATCACACTGCACACGTTTGTACTAACCATGATGTCGATCAACTCGTTGAACAGGACTAAACCATTAACGACCCGGAAAGCTTTTGTGTGGTTCAGAAACTGGATCCGTGCGGCTTTACATGAGTATGCAGTACAGATTATACAGAAAGTACAGGATACTACACGGTATCCAGTGTAGAGCATTTAGGTAACTAGGCTAATTGGCATAAATCGTCTGCTGGTCGCGCGTGAAAATCCGAGGTACAAATAGTTTCATGAAGGCTTTGCACATCACAGGCGTACTTGCAATCTGAGAGTGTGTCGAGTGTGACTCACCGGCTGAATTGGACGTTGAGTATAACGATAATTAATACGCACGCTCTTCTGTAACGAGTTGTGATAAAGCGAAAGGTCGGGTTGCCTTAGCTTTGTTCTATATTTTGGGTACATTATTAACCTCCATGCAATCATTGGTGACTGCGGAAACATCAAGCTTCAAGTTTACCCCAATTTGCTTTATCAAGCCGCTTAGCGAACTTCTACAATAAAGCTAAACTATATGCCTTTGAAAGCAGCATTAATTGTGATTAGCTTACAGTAATAATAACTTAACGATTCATTTGCATTATCTATAGTTTCTCTGTTAAAGGGAGTTGCCTAGCTGGGGCTCATTAGTAAGACCGCCGAGAAATACTAAGAACAAACGTGGTTTCACTTCTGATCAGTCGGCCTCATCACACCTGGCTTCAATCTGTTCGGATATGGATCTGCGGACTTTCACATTTAGCTTCCGCTTAATGTAGAAGATGCTTCCCTAAGCTAGCACGGGGTCACCAATTTCATCGACTCGAAGTTGTAAAGGAAAATGTGGTGGCCCAGATAAACGAATGGTCTTTAAAAGTCAAAGTATAATACGTCGAATTCCTGTCTGGCATTGACTGCATTAGCTTGGCTTGCTTGAGCAAAATAATACGTTTGTGGCGCAGGATGGATTTCGGCGAAATCCATGCTGCTATGACACTATGATCTTGTTGTTCGCAAATTATTCCATGAATGCCACCGCCTTTACAACTTCCATAACTTTTGATAACCCTGAAAAAGGATGATTTGGCGGTATTCAGTAGGCATAACATGATTTCACCATTGCCATTGTTTCCACATGGTTGGAACCCGTAATTCCTCAAGACCTTTTTGAACAAACAATGATAATGTTTCAGCGTAGTATTGGAAAATGTTTTGAACGCCTTCGGTCTTTGTTATCCACACCAGGATAGCTGTACTTGTGCAAGAAAAGTGTCTTCTTCATTGCGTTTGCATTAACGTAGAAAAAGTGGCTAATTTTCCGGGGGCGTAGTGAGTTGACTATTCCGTTTGAAATAGCAGG